TCATTTACTTCTTTTCCTTGAAGTTCTTTCAACTAACCTTTCTATATTCTTTCATTGAAAAGTATATACTATATAAAACATAAATTTTTGTCCTTTATAACAATTCATATGAATAAGGGAAAACAACCAGTAGGTCGTACTAGGACAAGTTCAATTTCTATTCCCAGCAGATCGTTTATATAGAACTTTAACTGCAATATAGTTGATTCTTTCTTTGAATTTACATCATCCTGCAGTCTTCAAATACTATGTTTTACCATATTTATCCCTTTTCTTGTAAGAAGATACTACAACTCTAAAAAACAAGATCTTCACCATTCTACAGTTACGCCGATAAAGAAGAGAAAAAAACGAAATAGAGATATTACCCTATCCTTATCGACTAGATGACTACTTCATATCAACCTGGTCTTAGGGTCGAAGAATTAAGATGGAAATGTTCTAGAACATAAATAATCAAAAGGTGTGGTTTCGACATAAGAACATTACAATATATCAAGATAAATCGCAGTAGTAGATTCTAGATCACAGAAAACAGTATGTTGTACACTCTCATGATACTGCAAGTTCACTTGTCAAAGATTACTTGTTTCAACTGACGAAATTGTCTCGAAATGATCACTTGGACTATCAGTTGCCCAATCCTACAAATGCAACACAGCTATCAAATAAAACAATGACAATTGTACACTCATGCCAACAACGAAGAAAACAGTAAAAGATAGAAACACAAGTCATTCTCTTTGTAGACTTGATGACTCTGCCATACTGTACTAGGTTTGGGCTCATATTTGTTGTTGTTGCTGTTCTGGTTGAATTTCAAGTAGTGGCGAATGGTTTGACTTTGCTGTGATAGTCGAAAAATGTTTTAGGTTCGTGTCAATGTATGTGCAAACCACTTTGTTCGTCTGCGTATGCTTTCTAGGAATTATCTGCCAAAAGTTGGACTTTATTTTCAGAGTCAAACCAAAACTCTAGTCGGACACGATTGCATCAATATTTGCGCTCGTGTAATATTGTTGAAGTTCAACCCATCTTTCCTGAGTTTCTTTTAGAGCTGCTTTGTATACTATCCAAACGCAAGCTGTTTGTACAAAATGTTGTGTCTCCTTTTCGCTTTTTGACAGCTACAACTACCACTACTTTCAACAGCATGACTTTCAGTGTGTTGGGAAAAAAACAGATCAGCAGCACTCTTGACACGGCAAATACTGTTTCACACAAGTCGCCTTGTTTCCCATTCATACCGTGCTACTATTGTTACCCTCCTTTTCAACTATATTAGGAACCAAAGACGATTTGCAATAGATGCCTTTCAGAAACACCATCAATACTAGTTCCAACTTTATCACTCTTACGACTCACATATCGTTTTAGACATATTTCACCCTCGGTAGAACCATTAATTCATAAAAACAAAGGCGTCTTTCAAAAAGGGACTAGTAGCTACAGTCGCCGTCGTCACAACTCTTTACCAAGGTGAACACAACCAAGATTTTTCAACAGTGTCCTTTTGCCTGCTTTATTTCATGGTTCCCAACAAGGTGAGTATATTTTGAACTGAAAACTTTTCCCTTGCTTTCAAAATACAAGTTTATTCAGCTTTCGTTTTCACAAACTGTCAAACCTTATGGGTGTCGTTTTCCATATTCGAATCAATAGAGAATTGATCTAAAAGTACAACAATACAACAATCATTGAAAATAAGCAATGATGGACTCAAGACTTTCCTATGCTATTCTGAGAAATGCCTGTTGCAGAGTTACAGACCGATTTCTCCATCGTGAAAAGAGTCATATAGAAGACAAAAAACTAACATACAAAAAGTTAATCTGTGAACTGACCAAAACACTCAACTGAGAGTCTGACTGGTTTCTTGTTCTTGTAGAATATCTTTGAAATAATAGCCCCAAGCCTGATTCTCAGAATCTCAACAACAGACTACAAGACTTTCAACTGCTAATAAATACGCAAAAATGCTCTGAAACAATTATCGATAGAAATAAACAAACTTGTGAAACAACTAGTTGACTAAAGTACCAACACTCAACGACAGCTTAAACTCCTTTGTCTTTGCTCTCTTCTCGACAACGCTAATCTCAAATTTCCATACAAGACCAGAAGTGAAATAAAAACAAGTGTTGCATAAAGTATATAAACTCCAAAGAGATAATAAAAGTTGTAAATACTAAAAAGAAACTACAGTCTACATGGAACTCAGAGCTCAGGACTCGATGGACTGTTCTAAAAGAAACATTTGAAGGGCTTAAAAAAGAAACGTAGATAATAGAAATTCACTTGTCCAACTAAAACGAACGAAGAATTCGTTTTAGAAATTAAAGTCTGAAAAGTTTCACTAGCAAACTCGAATCAGGTCCACAGACTTGACAACACTCACTGAGCCTTCCTTTCCATCCAACAATCAAACCATTGTGTTCATTTCTAATTGGATTGTTATGAGAAGGATCGCTTTGTATTCTCTCCTTTCACTGGAGATATATTATTTTGAGTGACTAGTGAGTTTTATGAAAGAAAATATTTCACTTGGAGATATGTAAAAAGGTTCTGGAACAATAAGTGTGCTAGATACCATCAATCTCACATCTCAGTAATGTTGTGAAACGAGAAGAACAGTGTCGTAACAAAGTTCCTGTCAACTCCCTAGCGACACTGTAGCCCTTTAACAGAGTTGAGTTTGCCCAATCTTGTCTCTGCAAGGTAAATTTTAAACTACTTGTGACCCTATTTTGATAACAAACCAAGAACGGGTTTTGCTACAACTAGTTTTTGACTCGTTCTCGATCTGAGAACCTTTCTTTGTTGGTCACTCAAAATTAAGGAAAACTCCTTAAAGATGTGAAATGTTCATTTTCTAATTTCAATGACATTAACTCTGTTTGGCTTGCATTGTGAGAACTAGAACCTTTCCTTCTATGCAAATACGCTCAAGGAACAATCTTTGTTCGATTACGAGTTATAAAGAAGAATAAATCATATATTCAACCGTAGAATTGGAAAGTATACAGAGGACAGGACAATAGTAAAAAACTGACCAAAGGTTGGGAATACTTTTGTCTATACACAAATTCGTACATAAACTACCTACGATAAGGAGGATCGAACCTCAAACGATTCAAGGCTATTGGTTCGTTCTCCACGTAAAGAACTTTTTGAGAGTTTTGACTGGTATAACAACAGTAAAAGTGGTGATGTTTTTGCTTCTCCTTGCACATATATTTCAAGATTCACCTTTCTTTTTTACTTTGCCAAGAGAGATGAAAGATTCTTATTTTTCCATTATTTCTACGCTTATATTCTTTTCTTTTCACTAGGAGACGAAATTGATCCAGTATATTTAAAAGAACAAGACCTTTACCAGTTTGGATAACAACCAAAATATCATTTAAGATTTGACTCTGCAAAGGAATCAGATAAATTGTTTTATCTTATTCTGCTGAATATTGCTTGCGAGTTGACGACATTTTTATTCTTTGTAGAGCAACTTGGATAAGAAAGCGTTTCTCTTCTTTTTCAAGTTTGACTTGTTCCTAGTAGAATTGAACATTCCTTCTATTGATAGACCCGTTTTTTATACGAAACGTTGGGTTGTCTTTGATTCTCGTTACCAATATCCAAAAGGAAGCCTCTACTAGTGTACCCATCAGGTTATATTTCGCAAGAGTCTTCTTTCAAGTGTCTAACGCAAGGAACTTTTGTACAGTGACTCACTTATTCAACGAGCTGATGGTTGAGAGTGGAAGAAGAATAGGACTCAACTGCAGCTGAACAAATCGTTCCTTGAATATGCAGAGCTTTTAAAAGTTTTGCCTTTTTTTATATTGAAAGAGATAATAGCTCCCTTGGAGTTATCTCGTTCCTAAAGCAGCTTTGTACTTTCTATAGTTTGCTTTCTTGTATATCTTTAAAAGTTGTAGTTTTTACAAAGTTTATCGTACAAGAGGACGCAGCAATTGTCTTTAAACCTAAACAGTCATGTTTACCTTCAAAAACACCTCAAATGTATAGTCGACTATTGAGGAGAAGGAATTCAACTATGATTCAAATGCTATGCAATGACAATATACGAGAAGGGAATAGATAGAATAGACTCAATTCGACTGAATTGAATTTTTCTTGAAAATATCTTTTCTCCTCTTAACAGAATCCACAGTATCAAATGCCACTATTTTCAGAGGAGAAAGAAACAGGAGTTATTGACTCTTACAGAAATTGAGGATTGATGATACACTTGTGTGAGTCAATGTTGTTTCTGAGATTTGATAAAACCACGAGATATTTTGTATTCTTCTTTGCACATTTGTTTTGGTTTGTCTTTTGCTAGCATCAACTTTTGTAGCTTTAGTGATAAGCTGCTACTTGTCATGATATCGTAAGAAAGGAATTTGATGATTGCTGAGAATAAAAGACTGTTGTGCTTGCGGGTTTCTGCATTTCTACTAAATAATATATTTCAACTGGAGCTTTTGAATAGACTACAGAAGAGAATGACTTGGTTCATACTCTAGTTCCGTGTTTCGAAATGAAGCAAAAGTGACGTAAAAACTATTCCATAAAATACAGAAAATCTAGAGAGAGACGTCTATGGAACAAATTCTTCATGAACAATCTATATTGCTCGAAACTCTCATGACTATTCTCGAAAATTCTGAAAGAAACTTTCTTATCTATTGAGAATGGACGAT